TACATTCAAGGTATAGTACATGTACAAATATTTACTCACCTGTGTTAAACTGTAAATGCAATTAGGAGCAAATATAAAATCGGCGCAAATGAAAAAATGAAATCGGCGCAAATGAAAGAATGAAAATTTTAAAAATCGGAGCAAATGTCATACGCCCATTATATATTAACCTAAAAACAAGTTCTTATATTGTGTATCGATTTTAACTGATCTTATACTTCATTTTTGAACAATTCCATGTTTTTAAAACTTGTTTCGTTGATTTGATAAATAACGACGAAAGAGGGTTTTTATTTCTGAGAAGAGAGCAAAAAAGTCACTATAATAATCTTTCTTAGGGACAGGGGTATACCAATACGTAGTTTTTCCTTGATTGCATGGCTCAAATTTTAGTATGTCAACTTGTTTATCCTACTGTCAAACAATTATGGCTAAAGCCAGAGTACAAAAAAACATATGATTTTTTTCCTATCTTGTTCGACTAGGAAAATTGTTCCCATTTAGCACCCACTCACAACAAACAAAAACAATAAAACAAAACAAAAACAAAACAAAACAAAACAAAACAATACAATACACGAAACAATAAACAATACAAAACAAAACAAAAAACATATCAAAAATCAAAACAAAACAAAACAAACAAACAATTATGGTATTAATCGCTAAGTGTAGACGTTAATTACTTCTTATTATATACCTATAGAAAATAATGGTATAATTGTACCTCTTGATAAAACTGTAAATTGTACATATATTTATTCATAAAATCTGAAGAATTGTCTTAGCCGTGTGATATGAAAAAGGGACGAAAGATACCACAGGGACAGTCAAACTCATAGATCGAAAACAAACTGACGACGCCATGGCCAAAAATAAAAAGACAAATAGACAAATAATACTACAGATGACACAACATAGAAAACTAAAGACTAAGCAACACGAACCCCACCAAAAACTGGGGGTGATCTCAGGTGCATGACTTTCGTTTTCAACTGCTTCCGGTTTATACCAACTGCTACAAGTTATCATCGCATGACTTTCTGTAACGTTATTGTATGGAATTTCGACGTCTCTCGGCAAATTCCGGAAATACACCTTAATGGTACATTTACAGTGAAAAACATAACAAAGTAGGATAAAAAAAAAAACATATTAGGAAACAGGAAAATATATTATGAAAAATGCAAAACAAATAATACAGTGAATGCATTTTTCAAAGTTTTAAAAATTAAAGTTCTTGTCTGTATGTCTTCTGTTGAAGTATATGATAAAAAGATCATAACATGTAATTTTTCATACCAGACCCTTCATCGGCCCTCGTTCATGATATCATTCCTGTAGTCTTTCGGCTCTAGGGCTGATATCATGACCTAGGGCCAATAAAGAGTCTGATATTAAAAATGCCATGTAATAATCTATACTTATTCACATCAACATCGTATAAAATATCAAATGCACGAGGTAATTTTACTAAATATATATCAGATGTTCTTAATAATCGGAAAGACATGTATTGACTCTCAAAATTTTCAAATTAACTGAGGCAACAGACAAGCAAAACGCAAACTTTTTTTAAACATGTACTTACCTTCATATGAAGTATTGGAAACATTTCTTCCGCAATTAAGGTTTACTAATTTTTTAAGTGGAAAAATTTGCTAAACAGAAACATAGATTTCTCCATGTTACATTACGATAAAGAAATTTGAAAACACAACATTATTTATACTTTATAGAAATTTATCAACTCAGTAAAATATCACGAAGTCCAAAATCAAATTTATTGGAATTTGTACATTTCCTTGTGACACAATTCAATTATATTTTTTGAAAATGTGTCAGATTTATTTTATCATTTCCTCTACATCAATAAACGATAATGTATAAGTTAGTTAAATATGGAAAGCCAAAGGGGTTAAAACCATTCTAACATTGCAACTTTGAAACAGTCTGACAGAAGCCAGCCCCGAATATCCGCTTGCCTTCGTAGGTTCATATGGATAGTGGGGACTGGCTTTAGTCAGACTGAAATTTCGAAATTTTAACTTTGTATTTCGTAATTTATAATAGAGCAACTCTTTAAATTAAAGTATAATAATTGCAACTCTACAACTATTGTTACGACAGAAAAATAGACTTTTAATTGTAGCCAACAAAAGACACAAATCAATAATAAAATTTAACAATATTTATTATACACAATTTTACAAGAAGTATTACACAAATAGTAATGTCAACTTAACTGTCAAAATATGAGTCGAATCTTTTATCTTTTCTTTGTCCGTAAATCTTCTCGGGAATCCACACAGAATATTACGTCCAATAGGTCACAATCTAGTATGATGTAGTTTGTAAATAAAGTGTCAATCCAACTGCTGAGAATGTTGATGTCTATTGATGTCTAAGTCTATATATCTAAGTCTAACTTAAGGGTCTGCATTTAAATACTTGTAACGGAACGTTCTAGATAACGGTAGATTTGAATTACGCATCTTTTGTTATGATCATTCTGGAAACGTTATGTAAGTGAACTAGAAAGTTCTAATCATTCCATGAGTATCCATGATGGTTCTAGTGATTTCTAAACTGCATAGTTGTAACACAATGTGTATTATTTTGTACACAATGTAAACAAATATATAATGTAAACATTCTTAGGCCACACAAAACAAATTAGGTCAACTAAATAAATATGATAGTTACAATATCATAACACTATGTAATTTAATATTAATACATTACATTTCTGAACTTGCAACGTGGTCAAATGTACATTTGTATATAGCATGCGGGAACCTAATTGATTATACCATGATATTTTCATAGTTTTACGTTGTAAATGATAGTATTACATCCTTTCATCAAAGACGGATGCTTTAAATTGATCTTTATTTTACCATACGATCGTAAATGATGGACTATAGTAAATGAATTAACGATAGCGTATTTATGATAGACCCTCATAAATGCATTTATGATGAATCGACTTATTTTCAGTAGCAATTTACATGTATGAAAAGTAGTATCCTAGAAAATGAAAACAACTCGTTGTAAATTTCATGCGTCCGAAGAGCTTTTCTGGATTTGTCTTCATCATGAATCCTCAAAGCCATGTATTTGAAAGACAAGGATGTATAAGAACCAAAAAAGATGAAGAGCTATGAACCAAAAAGACCTAAAAATAATAAATAAAGTGGTTATTCTAAAACTGCATGTATAAAAATATAGACGTCTAAACTGTATGAATTTGTATTGATGACTTAAAAAATTTATAACGTCTTAAGTATATGATGTAAGATACAATAATACCTCGTTACCGTAACGTATCCGTCTGTGAGTGATCATAGCCAGAAATTAGTAGTACTTTTGCTAATTAATATTCATTATATGTAAATGAGAATTGTACCACGTGATAATAGTTTGAACTGGACTGGCTTGATATCATTAAAATCTTTAAAACACGGATATTATAAGTTGCCCGTCACAGAATCCTTGTTTATAATCACTCTGATATTTCCGTAAAGTTGTCAGGCGGTCAAAATCAAAACAATGAACGCGAATTTAGTGAATTTTTCGTGTTTTCGTGAGTTTATTCTTCTTGAAATAGGGGCATTTTAACTTTACGTGGGAACCTAGAGTTCAACGACTACACATACAAGGTTTGGACTTGCTTATTCTTTGGACATTCAAGTTTCAAGTTTCATCCCCGCAACCTGTTTTTGTAATGACCTTGTTAGCCAAATTTCAACACGAAGTTTGCAAATTTGACGTTTCAGCCATTTTAGCCTGTATTTTATACTGCAATGTTAAAAGCCTCTCGCTCCGATTTTTAAAATAGCTCAGGAACCTTGATTTTTGCAACGACAGTCATTATGTTTCGTTTAAATGGTGTATATTGTTGTGTATATTTATTTTCTGTCCCCGCAACCTGTCTATCACTTAAATTAAAGTTAAAACAGAGATTTTTTTTCAAAATTCCCTATCATTTCAATATAATTTCCGTGACCCGTATCCGATTTCTTTAGTATAATATTCAAATAAGCAAAGTGGCGTTGATTTCTGGATATGTTTTCAACAAGTCGAATGTGTCCATGGGACACATATGACCCAGCTTGCAAGAGTCAAAGTATTAATTCAAACTTAAGGACGTTTTCTTTTCCTTGCAACTTAATGCAGAAACGGCAAATTCAGCAGTTTGTCCTTTATATTAAAAGGGACCTAACTCAAAAACGATAAAAGTGACTCCACCGTATTACGAAATTGATCTATGTTTAGTGGAAATTAGGATTGTGTTTAAGTTTCATAACATTTGGTTGGGGCAAACTAAAGTTATAGAACGAAAACCAATTAACTTCATATTTACGTCCGTCCGTACGTCCGTTGCTTTCTTCAAACACATTGCATCCTAACTTCCTTTTTCTGATCAGAATGGCTCTAGATCTATATTTACATATTCCATATACGACGTAAGTAAGTATGAAGTATTCAAACTTCAAGTACACGACAGTTAAACTCTTACTGAGGGGATGACCATGCGGGATGTGCATATACGCAAACTAACCATATGCGATTGGAATGTGACCGTTAAATTTAATACTACGAGTCAGGACAGTGTCATGCATGGACACAAAAAAAACTCAATCAATAACTGCTTTATCAGATTTGAGGGTGGTCTGATAGGCAAACATTTAGCCCTATCCAACATGCCCTTAAAATATTCCTACTAATCATCCTTTAAATCATGTTAAAAAAATACCTACTTTATATATATGATATGAAAAGATTTGCGTTTCGATCTTAACGTGCGTTCAGATTTCGACCTTCGATCACAAGATAACTTTAATGATAATAAATCTATACCGAAAAACTACACGGACTACCTGTTATCTATCTTATGAACATGATATTAAAATCATTTGTACATACGTAAAATAAGATTTAAGACGAAATATTGGAGCAAAGCCAGGCTTTAGGTATGTATCATACAAACGGGGACTATTAACACTACTCCAACGGGAATATTCTAAAGGTATATCATATTAAAATAGGGTTATTCAAAATACTTAAAAACGAAATGGTTCTAAATTTTCCAAACGAAAATTATGTTTTTTACTTTTTCTTTTTCTCCTAACTGGAAGAAATCAAATCTAAACAGTTTGTGAATACAAATTGGTAAGAGATACAGATATGAAATATTTTGTAAACTTAAATAAAATAAATGCCATGCTAATATAATAGTAAAATTTTGTTTAAGGATCAAATTTACAGATGAAACATGAAAAGAAGAACTTGGATTATGTGACAACGTTTTATCATTCAAAAGAAAAATTGTATGTGAAAGTGTGATTTATCTGCGGTGTTAATTAAGAACAATAACTTTTGGGCAACGTCAACATTGAAAACATGCCTATAATTGAAAGTACAACAAATAGCCTGTTTACGGGAATTCAGAGAATGATCTTGTCCAAGAAGGTAGGTGTCAATTTGAAATTACTACCTCTCATGTTATTGAACCGACACAGCTTATGTATCTTTTATTTGATTTATTAAATCCAGAATTATTTTCTTAGAATTAAACATATTCTGAATATCGAAAATTAACAACAATATATAAACAGTTAATATGGATTATTATTCCAAAAGGAAATCTCGAAAGAAACCGTCATTTTTCGAGATTTAAAATGCGCATGCGTAAGCGTTTATCATGTTAACTACCGGTTAAATAACCAGGAAATAGAGATTTTAGCAAAGAGTTTCTGAATTTCATTTCCAACTCTTTAAGATATGAAAAAAATTGGAATAGTATGTTTTGCATTAATATTTTGCATAAATTATGCCTCCGGCAGGTAAGTACAAACTTAAGTGATGTAACACTTGATAAAGCTTCTCGAAATATGTGATCATGTGTGTCATCACAAACTTGGAGTTTAAGATTGTTTATTAACGGTACAAATTTTTGTATTAATAAACCCATCATAGATACCAGGATTAACAATTTGTACGCCAGACGAGCGTTTGGCCAACAAAAGACTAAACAGTTAAAAATTCAAAATTACATACGAAGTTGAAGAGCATTTTTGACCCATTTCAACTTCCCCTTCACAGACAAGCAGTGCGTTCAACAGTATTATTACAAATTTGCAAAGAAAATGTTTTGCTAAGCATTTGTAAACCGCTAGAAAAACATGTACCGAGTTGGTTGCAATAATTCACATCCATATACACATCCTAAGATTGTCTATAGGCATCTTTGGTACTTTAAACTGATTATACTCTAAAGCTCTAAAAATAAATTGACAACTTGAATTTAGTAAAACTTTGTCATTTCATGTTAGGACATTTACCTGTACTATGGTGTAAATAAAGGAACATTTATGGGAGGCAAAATTTTGCTAATACTCAGGACTACCCTTTTCATTGGAGTCGGGACAGTCCTGCATTTAGTTTTCTAATACTTTTAAAGTGTGGAATGGTGACATGATGTCAAATATCACAAATTAAACCGTGTGCTAGTTTTCAAGATGATTGAAGCTCAAGTTTAGAATTATATGGAATTTAAAAAAAAAACACGTTATATTTTTGCGCTTGTATTTTGCCAATAAAATAGTCAGATTGTCTTTATTATAAAGCGCTGGTATATATATTAACTTCATTTGAAGGACAAAATCTGTACTCAAACCACATTTAAAACTTTTTATTGGGAAGTTTTGAACGTTTTTGAATTTTAGTTTTTCTTGCATTGTTATATGAATTTGGTTTCAATTTATGAAAATAAAATAAATAAAAAGTATGTGTGGCTTGTAGAGAACTTGAAAAGTGATTCCAAAATAAATATTCTGATTGTCTTCTAATACTTTCCGAGGAAATCTCTTTACGCCATCAGTATCACTGACGGAACAGAAACTGTTTGCCCTTTCGGTTCGCATGAATTCATCCCGTCTTTTCTTTTGGGTTCATTTTGCTCAATCTTTAGTGATCTTCCAAGTCTTTTATGGACTGGTACTTTTCTGATCGTTTTTCTTTGTATAGTATGTTTTACTGGTTTTTGATTACTTCCTTAGTATACTCTTACCCTTCTTATGCCATTTAATTCAGATTCCCGCCACTATTCACATTCAATGCATATGTAATAATATGTGAACCGCAGTCAATATCGTTAGAGAATAATAGTTGCCTTAGATTTTTATCCAAACATTGTTTGTTTGATTTGGCACATATCACTTTTGTATTTTTGGGGCACGGGCTATTTATTATAAATATTTTTCGCTCTCGAAGGAGCTATTTACTCACTTGAATTTAAATTCATGTTCAACAATCTATAGTTGTATGCAATATCGTATATCAATCTGAGACATGTCCGATTTGCTGTAGCTAGACCTTCATTTCTTGTTTAGATATTTCAACACAATTCAGACTTAAATCGGTGTTTCGGTAAATGGTTGATCTCATAATTCTTTAGTTGTACTCTCTAATTGATAGCACGTGCTTTTATTGCTTTTAGAGGTAACGGCCTCTTTGGACAGGACACCAAAATAGATAAACCGTCAAAGTTCCGTAATGTCATATCTTGTTTTATTTATTCACAACCTGTAACTCGTCATGAATTAGAGGTTGACACATTGTATATTCATTGGCTTAATTTTGAATACTGTGCTTGCCTTTTATGAGATATATATGGTTTTGGTTAATAATGTCGTTTGGTTAATATCTTATTGTCTTGTATACCTGACATCTTGTTATATTCATATTGGTCATTATCCTGTACTGGAGTATCCATGGCTTGTCAAATATTGTCTGCCGGATGGTATGGGCAACAATAACAGAACATATGAAACTTCATTACTCTTCTCATGATTAGATGGCTCTAGTGTTTAGTCTAGGTTAATCTTCTTTTTTGTATGAGACTAGACTTTATATTGGCTCTCTATTTTTAGTGTAATGTCAAAAGAAAATTTCTGTTTTATGTACGTCTCCAGCCGTACCTGCTCTCATCTGAACATGCACTTGCACATCCATGTAAGCGTGGTACTACTAAGTCGACTTCTTATGTTTTCCTTCTTTTGCTACTCCTTCCACCAACACTCTGTCTCAAAGGTTAGAAGCTTCTCTGCATCTCAACTGAAAACCGCTTTTCTGAAGCCCTTGATGTCAGTTCATTGAGTTGTAAATCCCTTATGTTCTAAATGCACATGTTCTTGGGCTGACTGAGTGTGTCTTTGGTGATTTCAAATAAATGATAATAGACATTTAAGGTCTTCCTCTTAACACATAAATGAATGGTGTCTTCCTGAATTGTATAGTTGTAAGAATGTGAAAGTTGAGCAATATGATTCTTCTAGTTAATATCATAAATTAGATAATAAGCTGTAGGACTTCATATGTGATAGTTGGAGCAGGCCTATATTACTTTCAATATTTTCTCTGATTCTGTCTTAATTGCATCTTTGGACAATAATAAATGGCCGATATACCTAAATCGGGTTAGCAAAGAGGCATAACCAATGGGATTATTTAGGTTGGCTTCCTGTTATTGAGGAAAAAAATCATATGATAAAGATATTCATCCTAAGAGTTTGAAAGGAAAACGGCATCACCCCTTAATAAATTGTTTCAACCGAACGGGGTACATTTGTACTAATGCAACTTAACTGGAAGAACACACAAGGCTTACTTTTCTTTCTTTTTTTTTCTTTTTTTTTTTTTGCTTTTTGAGCTGATGGTATCCTGACTAAATAGTAAAGTCATTAAAGTTTGAATGCCTAGCTAAGCAGTGAAATATTGCTCTATACATGACTCAGATATAAACATTGACGTATTTTCAACGATTGGTTAATTGGCGAATGTCGATCCACATTCTTTAACAGTCTCTTATGTCTCTTATCTTCTTACCGAGCAAAAAGAGCAATAAAATGGGCTGTGTGGCGTTCTGAATATTGCTGTCTTTATGGCAGGTTTATATGTTTATATGACTGTTATTTTTAGAAGATGGAAGTTGATATACGTTTATATCTCTAAATGGGACTAATGTTATGTTGTATTATATACGAATAACAAACATTAGTACCATTCTTGGACATATAGCAGTAAATTTGAATGACGGATTAAGTTGTCGATTGAATCAAGGTTGGTATCAGATGCCATGGTTTAGTCATGTCAATGAAACCAGTAATACATATGTTTGCATTTGTTGGTATGGTTATTGATGACTGTTTTGCTCTGTTTGCCAGCCAAAACGTATGACAAAAATACTGAACTCCAAGGCAAATCTAGAAAGGGGAAGTCAATAAAAACTGACAAATTCAAACATTATCAAACAACGGAGCTAGGACATATCGATGATTCTTTAGTAACGCTTCTAGAGGATCCTTTTACAAAATTGAGCAAACATTGATCTAGCCTTTCAAAAAACTGAAAACAAAGATATTGAAAAATTGTTATCTGTTTAGACACAAATTACATAAGTAGAAACAGATTTGAATTTGATCAAATAAACCTTCTTGTACCAAGTGCTGTCAATCATGTGAAGTCTAGCTGTCCAGTGGCACAAATAGGCCTTTGCAATATCATACTGCGAAAAGGTAACAGTGCACAATTTCAGAAAATAAATGAAACAACTAAAATGTACATAGTTTCATGAAAAAACTTTGTGTTCGAGAACAAAATTGTAAATATTGTTGATATAAACGATTAGTTTATAAATATGGAACTGTAATCAGAGCCTTGATAAAAATGACAGCAGCGGGGTACACGTCAGTACAGGGAGCGCTCAGAGAATAAACAGTAAGTTTCTACATAGCCCAAAAACGAACTTAACCGTACCACACACTCCAGTAGATTGCAAACGCAACGGGAGTTACAAAACGGCTATTCAAACATCTGCAGACCGATTATTCAAAGTATCTACAAAGGGACTAAAACATGAATAAACCCGTGTAGATAAACATTATCTTATATGATCACTGTAAATATTATGTCCACTTTTTTTAAATATTATTCGTATGCATGCTTTATTTATGAGAATTTCGTTTAAAGATAAAAAATTGCAAAGATGTATCTAATTGTGATGTTATATATGGGGAGCTTGTATATTTATCGATTTATTAGACCTATTACGGTTTTAAAACGATACATAATAAATAAATATCTACTTTATCTGTTTACGCACATGTATACACATGATGGATCTTTTAGTTTATTTTACTAAATAGATATATCCAGGTTCAATGCATTCTAGTAAAACATTTAACAGGTCGAGAGCACTACCTTATATAGATATGTATAAATTAGGATTCATGTCCTCGCAAATATAATTGTTTATTTACGTATGACGCAATTTGTTTTACCTAAGTTTCTGACTAATCCAAAAAATGGGTAACAATGCATGATGGACTACTACGTGTTTATGACAAACCGAAAACTCGTGTTATTTTCTGAAACACAACACATGTTTTCATGCATTGCGGGATAAATAA